CTGAATCATCACATTCTCAAAAAATTCATTCCCACACAGCTACCTCCTCATGTATCATTTCCCCCTCCTCTTTTAGATTGTAAGCCCTCTGGGGCAGGACCCTCCTTACCATCCTGTCTTGAATTATATTGTGATTGTAACGTCTTCCTTATATTGTAAAGCGCTGCGCAAACTGTTGGGGCTATATAAATACTATGTAATAATAATAATAACCCTATGGGAACACTTGATTCTGTCCGCGACCAAAATCGGTTTGTGACCACGTTCGTAGGGGTCAGATCGATTTAACCTTATTTACATTGAACATTAAATTTGGTTCGTGACCATTTCGGTTCGCGGCCAGAAACGTGGAACCAATTAAGTTCGTGAACCGAGGTACCACTGTATATACTTACTTGAATCTTGGTGTGATTTGTGAATTTCTTCCATATTTATGCAGTAATCCAGTGAAATTTTACCTTTGTGCAGTAGCTTTCTGTATTAAAGACTCGTTACTGCTGCTCTCTCTCCTTGTGAGGGTGACTGGTCTTGTATCTGCCCCCTGTAGTTTTATGCATGCAACTTATAGTTGGTGGACCTGTTAGGTCCTATTCACATCTCTGCACAGACTGTGTGTAGCACAGTGATGGTGTTACTGCTACTATTACAAGGTATTAACCCCTTCATGACTGAGGCCCTTTTTTCAATTTTTGCACCCATGTTATATTCCACATTTTAGGCCTGAAAATGACGTAAAACCCCCCAACATTATATATTTTCTGAATGCCAAGACCCTATAGAATAAAATGGTGGTAGTTGAAAATTTTTATGTTGCGCAATATTAGCGCAACTCCTTATTAAACCCCAAAATTTAGTGACAAATTTAATTAAATGCCCCAAAACACAACAAATTACCCATTTTTTAAATGAAATATAAAAGATGAGGTTACAACGAGTAAAACGATACCCAACATGCCCAGTTTACAGATTGCGTGCGACCGTGAAACGGCGAAAAACTGCAGTACCCCAAAAA